GATTCATCAAGACCAAGTGTATGTGCCGTATGTCCTTCAATTCCTAGTCCACCAAACGGAAAACCAAACGGACAAACAACTGCCACCTCCACTTGGACTGGAACATTTACATCAACGACTACGAAAACGGCTACTCAAGGAGGTACTGACACTGTTATTGTTGAAGTTCCTACTAACTCTCAAACCTCGAAAACTTCCACCTGGACTGGAACTTTTACCACCCTTACTACGGTAACAGCCACTCAAGGTGGTACTGACACTGTTATTGTTGAAGTTCCAACCAACTCTAAAACCACTGAGACTTCTACGTGGACTGGAACCTATACCACCCTTACTACGGTAACTGCCACTCAAGGTGGTACTGACACTGTTATTGTTGAAGTTCCAACTAGCTCCAAACCAACTTCCACTTCCACTTCTACCACTAGTACCACTACTGAAACTCTGACTCGCCCTCACGTTACGGTTACAGTAACTACTACTTGGACTGGCTCATTCACTACTACTACTACAGAAACTGGTACTGCTGCCACGAAGTAAGAAAATGATATTAATTTTTTGGAACAGCTAGAAGAAAGGTAATTCGTATTTTATACATATATAATTGTTCAAAGAATGCATTCTCCATCAATTACACTAACGGCGAATCCTCCAACAAAGACGTCGTCCCCAGAAATAGTAACTTGTATACGCGCATCTCTTTGACATTTCCTTCCTTGCTCGATATTCTTTACTTGAGCCGATGTAAACTTACTTTTTGATGTTTTATTAATAAAAACACCAATGGAACCTGCACCACTTCCACAAGCGAAGTCTTCGTTTGTACCAGTAGTTGGAGCAAAAGTTCTAGATTCTATTTTATCACCTACATTTGGATATTCTCCAAAAGTTTGAATTCCATCAACGCCGTATTTTAACAGCAATGCAGTAACTTTGGAGTAATTTGGTTCCAAATTTAAAATTGAATCTGAATCCTTCAACTTAGTGACCAACCAATTAGGACCTACCAAAACAGATGCCTGTTCTTCTACAATATCTTCTACAGTTATACCCAAGGCATCAGCTGTATCAGATGTAATTTCCGAATCTTTAGCAAAGTCTACAATGACAGGCTTTGGCAATCTAAACTTGATCAGATAATCGTTTCCCACATCAATAGGTATCAATCCTGCCTTACATTCTTGAATAAGCTGACCACTAGAATTGGGTTTAACTAAGCCGCTTTCAAGGAGTGCGAAAGCAGAGCCTACTGTTGGATGTCCTGCAAACGGTAATTCTTGCGCTGGAGTGAAAATACGAAGTTGATAGTCCGCCTTCTCAGTCGTTGGCTTGAGAACGAACGTTGCCTCTGATAAATTTGTCCAGGTCGCAATTTGTTGCATTTGATCATCATTAAGGTCGTCTGCATCGAAGAACACAGCAACAGCGTTGCCCTTGAAAGCCACCTTGGTGAATACGTCAACTTGTTTGAATTTGCGTGGCATTGAATAATATTAACGATTTACACTAAGGAAAATGAGTAAAATCAAGGGGACTATGATACCTTTAAGTAGTAACACTTTGAAACTGTATGCACAACCGCCTGCCTTTTCCAATGACTCAGGAAAATGGGGTTTGAGTCACATTTGTCAGCGAGCTAAGGCAAAAACATATTTCACTTAAGCATGCAAAGTTACAGAAAAAGAGGTAGGGCCAGCACTTGATACTAAATCGAATATTTTGTCTGTAGTCCAAGTTCATTATTTAATGTGAAACGAATAAGGTTGTGTCTCTTTAAATTTTTATTATTTTAGTGTGTAGTTGCAATTCAAGAGGCATTCACACCTATAGTTATATGTCTCTTACATGCATGTCTCCATGAATTGTATGATTCTGTTCAAACCCAATTGCCGAAATGATATTAACTCTCATTGGCATTGAGCACTTTACTCACTCTTGTAAATCACTCAGGCTTTTTCGAAATTGATAGTAAGCTATGAAAGATTCGAGACTGCTGCATAGAAAAAATACTTTGTCAGTGTAAGCCACTACACCCTCGTATAGCCATCTCTTACCTTTAAAGGTTCCACTTCACTCGATGCTTTTATCATTCAGGTAAAGATTTGCTATCAGGCTATTTCATATTGGGTTTGAAAAAACCTTTTAATCATTACAACCTTTATTGAACTATTTTATTGAAAAATTGGCCCAAATATTTTCTATTTCCCGAAGTGTGGATTACAGACTTTCGAGGAGGCTGATTGAAGACTGCTTTCGTGATGTGGTTATTTTTTGCTATGAGCAGGATAATGAGGGGAATCAAGCAAGAGTAGGCTTATTGCACAAGTACAGAAAAGGAAAGAAGGCTCTCAACGGCTCAATTGATATCAAGATAAACAAGTTACAATTCAATTAAGAAATGCACTGCCTCAACATTATTGCCCTGATAATAGGTTCAACAGAACAACGTGCTGGTATGGGAATTGCAGACGGGATTTCATGGACTTGGACTCAATTTTCGCTATTCAATTCTTATACGATAGTAAAATCCTCTTGATATTCCATGCTCGCTATTGATATTGTATTCAAAGTAGGTTGTGCTATAGCTAAAAAAAAATGAAAAGATTACATGGAGATGGAAACTTAGAGGGGCCGTGACCTATTTTTTTAAAAAAAACACAGGCAGCTATTGTTATTATTTTGAAATTTAGAAAGTAGGCGAAATACTTGCAACATTTTAAATGTTGCAATAGTGTGACTTAACTTACGTACTCACACTTCGTGACCCGAATACTCGACTTATTCATCATCCTCGGCTCTCGGCTCTTCAAATCATGCTGAATGGTCTTCTAACTTGAAAGCCGGAGTATTCAGGGACTCGAGGCGCACTTTGACTCCTCTTCATTGATACGTGAGACACCGTCTTCTAACATTCCTTGATGCATCTTTCTGTGCGCCAAGCTCGTACATAACCCTAATCGAGATTGAATGGGGATCTAAGGAAATTTGGGGAAAAAACCTTAAAAACAAACAATGCAGGGGCTGAAGAAAACACTGAAATAATTTGTCATGTCATCATCAATTCCCGAAGTTTGAGCAGAATTATATATCGAGCTAGGTTTAAATCTATCTCTACGATATCAATGTCCCAATCTATAGACTTTTCGGAAGTATGTATTTGATCGCTAGTTGATCAGTATAACTTCAAGAAGGAATTTAACAGGATGAAACATATTTTTCGAAGGATTCTTTTTCATGGAAGCTGCACGTTTATGTACGTTAGTGCTGCATGCTGAATAAAATCGCTAAATAAAGCAACCGACTTACTATTTCTGTAGGAACAATAGACAGTTCGAACCGCATCTTATTTCAATAGAATGAAACAGCTTTGCGAACAATCTAAACCGTGTGCGGAGATGTCTTACTCTTCAAACGACTTCATTTAGGACTTCCCCTGCTCAAAACTACTTCTTGCCCAACGAGTAAGCAATGCCCATCAAAGCTTAAAACTTGGGGAATTGAGAAGCTGTATTTGGCTACTATGCGTTAAATGTCAAAATTGACTTAAAAAACCTGGGCAGGGACAGAATGAATTTAGAGAGCTATATTTGAAGGGTGCGCAGAGCGCCGCTTCGCTCATGTACTTTGGACATCAATTTTGCATAGTGAGCCATCACATTCTCAAAATGGATGGTTGCACTGCATTCTCGAATAAAATACTTCAAGGCGTCTTACACAAAGATACATCCCGAATAATACCTGTTTCACTTATTAGAAATCGAGTTCTTTTCGTACTGCTTTGGACATGACTCCATTGAATTTGATTTGCTTAAATACCATGCGAATTTTCCCATTTTGATTCTCATTTCTAATCCCAACAAGCAAAGTATTGGTTTAACTCAAGCTTAGGATGAAATTTCTCTTACCTCTTTTAGTGCTCCTCTTGTCTGTTGCAGCCGCACCTTACCAACACAAAAGGGCATCGACTGTTACGAAGCCTTCTGAAGATCCATTTTATACACCACCAACGGGATATGAATCGCAGCCTGTTGGGACTATTCTAAAGAGTCGTAAAATAGACAATCCAGTTGGGTTTGTTGTGATTGCTGAAAAGCTTAAGGCTTCTTACCAATTTATTGTTCGTTCTGAAGATACTTTCGGTAATGCTATTGCAATTGCTACATCTTTATATATTCCAGTCAATGCTGATCCATCCAAACTTCTTTCTTATCAAGTTGCTGAAGATTCTGCCAACTTAAATTGTGCACCTTCATATTCGTTCCAATTAGGATCTGATGTTGAAACTTATGCATCAGGACAAATAGAACAAATTTTTACTCAGGCAGGTTTGGCAGAAGGCTGGTATGTTGTTGTTCCAGACTATGAAGGTCCAAATGCAGCATTTGGAGCAGCTCATCTTGCAGGAAAATCTGTTTTAAACTCAGTCAGGGCTATATTGAGTTCAGGTAATATCACTGGGATTGACAGTGATGCAAGCGTTTCCTTCTGGGGTTACTCTGGAGGTTCTTTGGCCACCGGGTGGACTTCGTTATTAGAGCCCACATACGCCCCAGAATTAAGTTCCCAAGTTGTCGGATATGCTTATGGAGGTATTGTTGCCGATTTAGACAATGTTGCTCGTTTTAATATGGGTAAGTGGTCTGCAGGATTCATATTTGCTGCTATCAATGGATTAGCACATGAATACCCTACAATTAATACCTTTATCGAAGAAAATATCTATTCTTCAATGTTCGCTAAATTTACAGATGTAGATCAAATCTGTGAAAGCATTTATATATTCGAATATGCCTTTAATACTTGGACCGAGTATTTTGAAGCCGGTGAAGCAATTTTAGATGACCCTATTGTCTACAATGTCACCTCGCAACTCAATATGTCGATTCTGGGATTAGTACCTACAGCCCCACTATATTTCTACAATGCCAAATTTGATGAGATTATCCCTGCTGCAGATGCTGATACCTTGTACTCTACTCTTTGTAAAGAGGGAGTGAGCATCGAATATCATCAAGACTTGCTCGGAGGGCACCTTATTGATATGTACACAGGATGCGATGCAGCATTTCTGTGGTTGAAGGACCGTATGAATGGTAAAGCTGCTACCACTGGATGTGTAAAAAAAACTAGTCTCACTTCTGTTTTCACAAAGGCAGGACTTACTGGCTTCAGTGATATCATTTCAGCAGCACTTTGGAATGTTTTTGTTGAATTTGGAAGCTCATATGAAACTTTCTTCTAAGTAGAATGAAAAACCTATTAAAATTAATAGTAAATGGACTGAGATCTTAAGCGATGTTCAATAAACACTAGATACCCAAATAGACAAGAATATGAATAGATAATAAATAGAAACGCATCAAGAGTTTTTCTAAACACGCTCTAATAACATACTAAATGTCCAAAAAGCATTGGAAGATCTATTCGCAACGCATAATATTGGCTTTGCCAGAATGAACACCAATCTTACTGTGCAGATTCTTTTTAGGGTCCCCAACAAATGATGGAATGTTCTTTGGCTGCCTTTTCATGTGTTGCATTCTTCAGTTGCTACATTCAGAACTTAGTTAATCTTGTAATTCTATTCAATGCTGTTCTTAATTTAAACTTTTCTCCGAGAAGACATTGGCTACTAAATTATCATGGGTCTAATATAGAAGTAGTTAAGAAATATATTATCAATTAAAATAGTTAACTGAGATAAATAGTAATCAGTATTGTATTTCAGATCAAACTTTATCATATTTTAAACCAAACATTGTTGGTCGTCAATAATAGAAACCTTCAATTAAACTAAATATGACTTCATATGTGAATTGATTTCAGCTATCTCATGTAAATCAATAAGGGTTGAGTTGGTTGAGGTGAGGTTGCTAGACTAAATTAAACTTTTTGATATTTTTTGTAATTTAGAAACTGAAAATTCGAGCTCTTCCAAATGCTGCATTTTTGGCGATTCGAAGTATAGTTCGATTAGCTTTTTTTCGTCATTGCCTGACTTCAGAGAAGTTCATACTGATCGTGCATAAGAGGTACCTGAATAAATGTCTTAGAGGGGGCCATTACACGTACACATGAATGGCGAGAGATTTCCATCGCCATAAAAGGAAACGAACTCAACACTCGTATAATTGGAGAATGCGATCTGCACAATGGTGCCAGAAATGCAATAAAAAGGCGAGTGAATTGGATTTTGGCTTCTTCAACATAGAATTAGTAATTCGTTAATTATTATTTCCAAAATAAGCCGATTAGTTGTTTTTTTCGGAATCTGTAATCTACACTCATGTGCTAAATGTAAACAGTTCATTAGGCGCCATTGAAGGGGAATCTTTTTGAAGAATCTTTTTTGCATATGTACATGCACATTTTTTATGCGGACCTTTTGCCGACTATTCACCTTTAGCCAGGGCACTACTAAGCCAAGGGCAGCTGTGGGCGTAAGAAGAATTCTGATTCGATGAGTTATACAATATTCTCTATATCTTTCAAGTAGAATATATTTGTCACCCAAACAACTTTATAGTAAAGGAGTTGTCTCTAGATTTTAATCGGCAATCTACCGAAGTGCATGAAATATGAAATTATGCTAACAATCTCCATTCCGATGATGTATATATTCGAGGCAGATTGGTCCATATTTACGAGATCTGACTAGATATGTTTCAAGATTTTTTTTTTAAACAAAAGGTACCTACGCGAATATTTTTTTACGAAATCTTCTTTCTTGTGTGTAAGGCTACTGATTCTACGCCTAAAAGTATCACGTAGAAGAAAAACAAGCTAAAAAATAAAATTAGTATCTTGCTCTGGAAGAATCAAGTTCACCTATTTTAGAATCTAATTATCAAAGTTAGTCGACCATTAGCATGAACCTTTAAAGTACTGACACCCTGGTTACAGACGAATAGAAATAAAAGTTTTTAGGTGACAATAGAGTCTTGGCCGTCGAGTATGTTGATCACTTTTTGCACCAAAGGAAAGTGGCTGCTTAAAAAAATTAAGCATTTTCTATATACCAGCCATTTTACATTTGTCGTTATAATACTCCAAGAACACTTGTTTCATAAGAGAACTAAGATAAACTGCGGCAAATATTTTTCAGCCGGAATTAAAAAAGATGTTCACCGCAAGCCAGAGAAGTAATTGTGGAGGATGCATACATAAAAATATCAATATGCTTCTTTTCGAGCGCAGGCGATACTATGCATCCACACAAGCCCATATTTCACAATTCTTGTTTGCACTATAAAAGCCGTATCAATAATACCAAATATGAAAAGAATAGGAAAAGTACTCAAAGTAAGATGTTATTCAGATCCTTAATACCTTTAGGGTTATTGGGTTTGACCAAGGTCAATGCTGCTACGGTTGAGATATCCTCCAATACTCTCATAAGTACTGGTGATACTCTCTATACTT